AAAAAATAATTTTTTGAAGTGCTTCGAGGATTGGAAAAAACGTTGGCACAAGTGTATAATATCTGATGGGGATTACTTTGAAGGGGACAAAATAGATATTCATGAATAAATAAATAATTTTTGAAAAAACACAAAATTCGCGATACTTTTTGAACAGACCTTGTATATGAATTTAGGGGGTCAAGAAATATGTATCGTTTTCTCGTAATACAGGAAGTTGTTCGTAACATTCATTAGTCCGTGCTTTTATTTCGACTAGCATACACATTTTACCATGTGTATCACTTCTCTAGCTAACAGTGCCATATATCCCGGTCCCTTCATAAAGTGATATGCGAAGATGTCGGGTGACCTGACGGCTATAGTGCATTCTGCATTATTCGATATTCGAGTTGACACTATTGCAATAATATATTTCGATATAATTGATTAATCTGAGTATGGATGTGTCTTTCTACGTACCGAATTTCGAGTTCATGTACGAAAACAAATCTATGTTCAATGAAATAAAGCCCGAGCTCTTGAAAACTTCACCATTGGGTGATGTTTTGAAAATTATTAATTTTAGATGTTTAGTTCTGGTAAGCGTGTGTCCACAGGTGGTGTATGTTCCAGTGCTTGTTAGAGAAAAAATTATACTTGGCGTGGTAATAGAATAAATCGTTTGTGATCGTCCGTTTGTTAAATCGACTATTTTGTATCCATTGTATAGTACACCATAAGGTATCTCCTCCTTCTATGACCGTACAATGAGTAGTTCGCAACTTACTCCTGATCGGAGGTGTACGCGATTCGTATTTATTCGCACATCAGTAATATAATCCTGTAAGACTCACATTAAGGCTGCCTAACATGACAACATTTCCTCAAGTTCCACACGGGTCAGAGTAGGCGTTGCCGGAGTATCCGCCGTTATTGTAACGTGATCGGCTATAACTATTGGTCGTGATGCAGTCTGATTAGATTGTAACTCTGTTCTATGAGTTTCAGCTATTTTGAAGGTTCCGTAGGTGTGCATTTCTCTGCAAGCTTCTCGTGATACATCGGCTATGTATGAAAATTGTCCGTTGAATACGTCCGACGTATGCGAAAACATTTCGCATTTTTTTACTGTATGATCTATTTCAATTTTACATTGTATTACCTTTACAGAATTGAAATCATTGAGTTGAAATAATTGCACATAGATCTTGGTAGAGATTACAATACTTTTTGTGGGGGTATGTCGCATGCCTCAATGTTTATTAACGACAGGTTAAATTCACGATTGCTGAGCCGCAGTCGTGGTCTATTATTCCATAAGTTTTTGGTATCCATATTATCAATATAAATGTAGCAGTTATTCCCTTGATGCGGTGATCCATCTGAAATACCGATTTGTCTATTGTTATTTCGATTGTCTAACTACTGTGGTTTGGTTTTATGTGAGAAATCTGTAAGCGATTAGGATGGACAATTCGGTTATTTTTCTTTATTCTTATTTTAATATTATTTCTGTTTAAGATTTCCAAGATTTCGTGAGGACCGATATACTGGTCTCCAAGTTTACCGGGTTTCGGCCCTTTTAATATTATAAAAATACCTGGTCTCCAGGCCTGAAGATCTGGAGGTTAATTTTCTTGTAATGTTTCTTCGGTCTTTCTTTAGCATCGACGACATTTTCTCGAGCGTTTGTTTATATGGAGTGAAATTGTGTGACAAGGTTTATTAGATAATCATTGTAATTGGCTAATTTGTCATTTGGTGCCAAAGGTTTATTCGGAGATATTCTAGCTATTTTACCGAATACTAATTCGTACGGGATATATTTCGTTGCTTCGTATACGTTAGTATTATAATTAAATATTGCAAGGTTAATCCATCTATCCCACTGTTTTTGAGAATCCGCATATTATTTCAAATATTCGCCTAAAGCGTGATGTGATCTCTCTAATAATCCATTTGATTGTGGATGGAAGGCGGTCGTGCGGAATTTGCGTATTCTGAATATTTTCGCAACCTTGTTCATTAGATCGCTAATGAAGTTCCTTCCTTGGTCTGTCAGTATGGCTTTTGGTGTTCCTAACGTGCAAATATATCTGTCTGCAAAGGCTTCAGCTATTGCAGAGGTCTGATCTGGTAGAAGCATCCCCATGCAAAATTTTGTTAATTGGTCTTGCAGAATTAAGATATATTCGTTGCCTCTTTCGATTCTTGGCAGAGGTCTCATGATATCCATTGCTATTTCATCGAAAGAAGATTCTGGTGTGTCGGTAATTATCATCGGTTGTTTAGTTTTAACTCTTACTAGTTTTTTCAATTGGCATTGTAAGCATTGTTAGATATAATGTTGGACGTCGAATTTCAGATTTTCCCAATAATAATTATGTTTTATTCTATGGTAGGTTTTTGTGACGTCTCGATGTCCTCCTCGGTGGGCAGGCATTTCGCCGATTATAGTAGAGCGAAGATCTTTACATGGGTATTTAATTAATCCATTACATATTATGTAGTCACAGAGTTTTGTGCTTGAACCGGTAAAAACTGATTGTAATAGAGATTTGATGTCATTCTAAGGCATGTTATTGACAAAATCTGTTTTTGCGATACTAATAGTTTCTAATTTTAATCTTTCAATGACTTCTCGTAAACCTCTTACTACAGTAGAAATTTGAGAGAGAGTCATCGTCGGGCCACGTTGTCCTTCATTAATAAGCAAAACTATATGGTAATATTTCTTATGTTTTATGAGTTTAGCTTTGCCTAGACTGAGATCTCTTAAGGAAGGGATCTCGTTTCTTTCAAAAAGTTTTTGTGAGCCCGAATCTAATGGTTTTCTGCTGATATCAATGAAGTAAGCTGTATTATTCTTGTGTAAAAACAATAATTCGCGGCTGTTTATTATGTTGTCTTAATGATTTGTATGGAGGTTTTTATTTTTGAACTTCGGTTTTTACTGTTTTTATGGTTCAATTCTTCTTCTTCGTCGTCAGTGCTTAAATCTTCTTCGATTTCTTTTTCTTTGTTCAGTGGATTATTTTTATCTTCTACTTTTTCGATTTCATTTTCATTTTCCTGAGACAATGTTTTTTTATAAAGATTCTTATTCTTGGTTTGACTTTGGGTTTGTACTCTATTATAATTAGGTGATTCGTGTACTCGTATTAATGCTTCTTCTCGGCTCGCATCTCGGTGGCTCACATATTTCTTCATATGTGAATGATATTGAGTCTGTATTCCCGTCAGACAAATTATTGTGGGGCATTTGATCTTCACCTTTCTCGTCGTCGGAAAGATATAGTTCGAAATTTTTCGTCCTCTTCTTCTTCGTCGGTTTCTTCTAACATTCTAGAAACCATTTCTACCGGATCGTCAAGATTTAAGGATCTACTAGGATTAATTATTTTGCAATTTATTTCTTCGATTTACAGGATTTCTTGATAAAGCATCAGCGTTTACATTGGTTTTACCTACTTTATATACGACATCATAGTCATATTCGGCAAGCTTCAGTCTCTAGCGGAGTATTCTCATATTTGCATCTTATGCGTTATTAAACCAGAGTAATGGTTTATGATCTGTGACTAACGTGAATTTTTGTCCGTATAGATATGGTCAAAAATGTTTAACACAATATACTATTGCTAATGCTTCTTTTTCATATACCCAGGGTTGGCCATATTCGACGGAAAGATGTTTTTTTGTTAATCATGGGAAAAAAAACACATTTTTTGCTTTTCATTGTAAAAGCCATTTAATATGGTTCAAGGAGATTTGTGTACATTATTTGTTGAATATGATATCTCTTAAATGATCGCCTTGAGCCTGCATGGCGAGTAGTGCCCGTTTTGCAGCGTTTTCCATCGTTTTGAACAATGTTTCGGCCGATATGGCGGGTATTTCCTGTCGGATGTTGGTCTTAAGTTCGTCTAGGGTCCTTGGCTTGTTGACATAAACCTTTGATTTCAAATAGCCCCACAGAAAGAAGTCTGGAGCCGTTAAATCTGGTGAACGCGGTGGCCATTCAAAATCACCATTTTTTGACATCAAACGTCCAGGGAACAATTGTTTCAAAAAATTGATAGTGGCTCGAGCTGTGTGTGGTGGAGCGCCATCTTGTTGAAACCAGAAGTGCTCCATACCATTATCATGAACAATTGGCATCAAAAAATCACTTATCATATCACGATAACGTTCCTGATTGACGATAACCGTTTCGCCAGCTTCATCTTCGAAAAAGAACGGGCCAATGATCATATCAGCACAAATCCCGCACCAAACAGTCACTTTCTCGGCATAAAGAGGTACCTCGTGAATGATTTGAGGATTTTCAGTACCATAGAACCGAAAATTTTGTTTGTTTACGGTTCCGGTTAACGTGAAATGAGCTTCATCGCTCATGATGATTTTTTGCCAAAAATTTTCGTCAGTTTCAGCCATTTCGATTACACGTTGGGCCCATTCCAATCGACGTGGCTTATCGACAGGTAACAGTTTTTGCGTCACTTGAACTTTGTATGGGAACAAATGCAAATCATGATGCAATATGCGACGTAAAGTGGTTCGTTTTATGCCCAACTGCTCAGATCGACGTGTTTGAGATGTTGTTGGAGACCTCTGAACACTGGCCTGTACGAGTGCGATATTATCATCCGATCGCCTTGGTCGCACTTTATTTGGACGCTTGGGATTAGTGAGTGCCTCACCAGTTGAAAATCTTTCATACAAACGATACAATGTGTTCGCGGAAGGCGCACTTTTCACTTTATTTATTTTTCTCCATGCACGTTGAGTTTTAACAATTGACTTGTTTTGTTGAATGTAAATTTCAACAATCTGAGAGCGTTCGCGTGGCGTGTACTGTTCCATGGCACAAATTTCCTTCGACTGACGCTTCAAACGCGCTACGTCGTTACTCGATCTAACATCTCTGTCAAAAGTTACAGTGTTGCCACATCTTTCCGTCGAATATGGCCAACCCTGTATGTCATATTTTACTTCGTTGTTGATTAATGTTCGCGAGGCGTATACCATTGGTTGGTCTTTATTTATTTCTCCTTGTGATAAGATGCTTCCCACGGCTATTCCAGAAGCATCGGTTGTTAAAATAAAAGATTTCGAAAAATTAGGGTATTGTAAGAAGGGTTCCTCACATAATTTCTGTTTCAGTGTCTCGAATGACTCTTCTTAAGCAGATGTCCATGAACATCGTGTCGTTTTTTAATAAATTTGTTAGAGATTTTGCCAATTTCAAAAAGCTTGGTATAAATCTGCAATAATATCTTGCCAATCCCAAAAATTATTTAATGTTTTTGGGAGTCTTTAGCCTTGGGAAATGCTTTATAGCTTCTAATTTTCTAAGATCCGGTAACGCCATCTTTGCTAATTACCTAATGGCCTAGATAGGTTACCTCTGCTTTTTAAGAATTCACATTTATCTGACTGCAATTTTAGATTAGCCTTACGAAGCCGGTCAATTAATAAATTAAATTTCCTTTCGTATTCCTCTAAAGATGTGGCGTATATGACAATGTCGTATACGCCATATAAACAAATAATTCCAGGCCCTCTAATCCTGATAGTATTAGATCCATTAATCTTTGAAAGGTAGCAGGAGCATTTTTTTAATCCGAAGGGCATGTGATCAAATTAGTAATGCTAAAAGGAGTTGTGAAAGCAGTTTTATGATTATTGGCAGGATCCATTTTTATTTGATGGAATCCGGAAGCCAAGTCGCATACAGAAAAATATTGTGCCCCGCTTAATTGATCTAAAATGTCAACGATATTAGGTAATAGATACGCGTTTCCAACTGTTTTTTCATTTAAAGCGCGGAAATCTAACACCATTATCCATTTCTTGTTTCCTTTCGAGTCCTCTTTCATCGGGACTATCCATATGGGCGTATTGCAAGACGATTGAGAAGGTTTTACTATATCTCCTTCGAGCAGTTGAATATTTCATTATGCTCTTGGTGGTTCGGATCCGTAAAATTGATCTGTATATCCGTAATTTCTGTTCGATTGTCTTGCGTTTTAATAGTTAATTCATCTAGAGGTTTAGACGCAAAATCGGCACTTGAACTTCTACTTTTTTGTCCAACGCTTATGACGTTTAGATACGCCTTTCCAGAGACATTTTCTACTATGGTGTCTTTTAAATAAATTCCGTGAGCTATTTTTATTCTCGGAATATATCCAATTTTTATTTCAGGATTTTCTACTCTGACGTAAAATAATGATTCCGCGCGTGGAGCTGCTATTACGGTTTCCGGTGACAGAAAGGGAAATATTTTTTCTTCCGATGTATCTAAATCCGTTGCGTAGTCTATTCTTGAAGAAGTCTTAAAAAAAATCGTTCCTAATATGCCAGACTGTGAAATTGGAAAGTCATTAGATACAATGTAAAATATTACTTTTTTTCCAAAAAATGTTAAGGTTATTTTTCCGAGAGTATAGACGGGATATTCATTTATGCCGTTTAACTTTAAAATATTATTATAGTTGACAAAATATTGTTTTTAGGTATAAAACTTCTTTAATTACGTTCGGTCCTGACTCGGTGTCTAACATAAGAGTTACAAATTACGGGCATTGACTCGCAAAGATTCCCTTCAACAGTAGACACGCGATCATGTTTACTAAGTGTTATCGTTACGGGTCGTATTTCTAAAGCGTTTTTATTTATTGAGTCTTCTGAGACGTCAACGGGTGTGAGATTCGTTCGGACCCCTGTTGCATACCCGCCTTCGAGAGGCTGTCGGAGTTTCACTGGTGTGCAACTTTCCTCCGGTTATTATGGCAGGTGTACAAGTATGAAATGCGGATTTAAAAAAAAAACACGTTAAATTCGGAAGAATGATAAAAAGAGCTTTATTTAAAGTATGCTCCATTGCTAGTTACACATTTTTCCCATCTTTCGGGCAATTTGTGGATACCACGCCAGTAAAAATCTTCCCCCTTTGCCGCGAACCATTCATCGAGCCATTTTTTCACATCTTCGTACGAACCAAAGCGCTGCTCAGCAAGTGCGTGACCCATCGATGCAAACAAGTGGTAATCGGAAGGAGCCAAGTCTGGTGAGTAAGCCGCATGGGGTAGAACTTCCCAGCTGAGTGCTTCCAACGTGTCGCAAACCGTTTTGCCGTATGTGATGGAGCATTGTCATGAAGAAAAATGACTTTGTGTTGTCTCTTTTGGTATTCTGGTCTTTTTTCAAGCAGCGAACGGTTCAAATCGATCAATTGTTGTTGGTAGCGTCCAGCATTAACCGTTTCACCAGGTTTTAACAGCTCATAATAGACCACACCCTTCTGGTCCCACCAAACACAGAGCATCGTCTTTCTGCCAAAGCGATTCGGTCTTGCGGTCGATGTGGATGGTGCGCCTGGGTCTACCCATGATTTTTTGCGCTTGGGATTCTCAAAATAAATCCACTTTTCATCCCCACTAACGATACGATGCAAAAACGACTTCCTTTTGTATCGTGCAAGCAAAATTTCACATGTGTTTTTGCGCCTCTCCATCTGCCTGCCGTCCAACTCATGCGGTACCCATCTTCCGGTCTTCTGAATCTTTCCCATCTCTCGTAGGCGATTGGAAACAGCTTGTTGACTAACGCTCAATTGCTCTGCGAGTTGTTTTTGTGTTTGTGAATCATCTTCGTCCAACAATGCTTGCAATTCCACATCTTCGTACCTTTTTGGCGGTTTTCCGTGTTCCTTGTCTGCAACATCGAAGTCACCACTTTTAAAACGCCGAAACCATCGTTCACACATATCTTGCGATGGAGCATGTTCACCATAAGCTTCTCGAAGTAATCGGTATGATTCAGCAGCAGTTTTCTTCAAATGAAAACAAAAAATTAATGCTGTCCGCGAATGCTCTTTGTTTGGTATAAATTTCGACATATCGAACACAGCAACACAACACTATGCAAACACTTTTTCAATTTATCACTCGTGCGCGTCTGACACTTGTTGATGGCACTTCAAAATGGCATAACAGTCAAATCTTTATACCACACACTGCATTGATGCGCCATCTGTTTTTGTCAAATCCGCATTTCATACTTGTACACCCACTTACGGTGGTATGTATCATAATTGACAAGCGTCGAAAATATAACCCGTTTCTTTAAAATAGCGGCAGAATACGCCATTTTCAGAATTATACCGTTGATTATTTTTAAAACGGCAATTCCTGGCAACATGTCCCGAATTGTTGTAATTCTGACAAACAATCTTTGACTTATCCTCAATATTACGTTTGTCTTTGCCAACAGTTATTAGCGAGGTGGCCAGCCTTGTCACACCATTGGCAAATAATAGAATTCTTACTCGGAGAGAAATTAGTATTATTATTACAACAGATCGGCACATTTTAGCATTATGCCCCGGTTTCGAGCATAATTGATAAGAAATTACGTTAGGTTGCAGTACGTTCACGGGTCGTTCACGGGACGGGGATCCCGACACCGACATTTATCGGCACTATGTTCGTGTCTTTTGCAAATTTGGCACCAAGATTTTGGTTTGAAAATTGGATTGAGAGATCGATGGTAATTTCCTACAGTTCGTGGCAGTGTGCCTCTCTTTATGGCATATCCGAAAATTTGTTCTTGAATTTTATGAAAGATCTTTTAAAGGACTCGAGCTCCGCCTTCTCGTCTGTCCTTGTCGTAAGTCAGTCATCTGTTGTAGCTCTCTTTCTATTCGCATCGCGTCGGCTACTGTTTCTTGCACGTCCAGATCTCTATTCTCTGTTCTATTTCGGGTTTTAATCCTCTAATGAAATATTTGGACATACCTTTTTCTAAGGAAGCTTTAAAGTTCTTGTCCACAATAGCGCTTACGTGATTTTTCGATGCTTCTGTTACGTCCAAGCTCCGCGCGATTGCGGAGCTGAGAAGATGAACGCAACAAGGAACCGAATTGTTAGACCGATTTGGTCGTGTCCAGGTTCCGGACCACAAGGGAGCCGTGGGGAAGGACCAACGCAAATCGGGAGGCGCTTCGCTTTGTCCTAAGACTCCTAATGAGCCGGAGATCGAACGGAGGACGAAGTGGAAACCTCTGCTCGTGCTCCGCTAAACGGACACACGAGTCGGACGTACTTTTAAAGGGCCCAAACTGGGTCAGTGCGTCGAGAGGGCGCATTTTAACGCCAGCTGCGTCAGTATGCCCTGACTTTCGGTCATGGAACTTAATCCAAGAATCTGAGGAGAGGGCGAAGTGCAATCGCGGGAGAACTTAAGAATACGAGGAGAGATTATATTAGAAAAAAGATTACTGGGGAGTTCATTTAATAATAGTATAATATAATAAAAAACAATATTGATCATAAATTTTGAATAAAAATAAAAGAAAATAAATACAATAAGAATATTACAATTTTAATAATTATGATTTGTACATGTGCGTGCGTGCGTGCGTGCGTGCATATGTGTGTGTGTGTGTGTGTGTGTGTGTGTGTGTGTGTGTGTGTGTGTGTGTGTGTGTGTGTGGGGGGGGGG